AGATGTTAAAATAACGGTGAAATCACGGCTTTTCGATATCAGATATGATCATAGTCAGCTCAGGTTACTGAATTTGACGAGCGATCGCTTCGACCTGTGGTTTCTGACCTATTTGGAATGGTACCTCAGATTTATAATAGAAATCGTTCACTGCGTCAGAGAAGGGATATTCTATGGAAACAGGCCTGTTTTCGGGGCAGTGCTTACGAGTTGTAAATTGCCTTACAACGAATCTGCAGCCAAGAGAGAAATGTTTTTAACTCGTTTTTATTATCATTTTCAGCATTTGCCAGACCCAGCAAGGTGCCGGTCTCAGTTCTGCTAGATCAGGTTTGCTAAGTCGGTAGAGCATCCGTCGTTTCACAATTAAGTCTTTCTTCCTACCTTAGGTTGATGAATGCCACTGTGTGAAGGAAACAGAATATTATTCACTATGCTTGTCGCAGCTGCTGTCGACCTTCTTTAGAACAAGGCACCCATGGCTGATGGCGTGGAAATGGAGATCAGCGCTCCTACCTTAACGTAATGAAAAGTGGCACCATGAATGGCGTCATCATGAAGGTGTAACGAATACCGCCCTTCAGATGGTTGCAGGATATCTTTTCCTGTGAGTTTTGACTTTTTCAGATGATTGGTTATCAGCTCCTGGTAGTTTCTTGTCTGGTTGTTTCATCATATTTTAAGAATGCTTTGCAATAAGCGTCCTTACATGTCAAAGTAAGTCATACCTTTCTCAGCTCCCGACAATGATATGCATTATTGTTTTGTAGACAGATCTTTCTATACTATATTTCTTACCGCTGCCTGAAATTAGCTGATGCCATTTCTAAGCATCTGCAGACAACAGGATGGTGTAAACATGTAATAATGAAATTATTGATCAACATATAGGCATGGACATTTATGCGTGGAAAAGATTTCAATATTTAGCGTTATTTTCTACATTTTAGTTTCCTGTCGTTCTACGAAACATATTTTGCAACTTGTTTACATTTTAGGTTCGATGCAGCAAGTATTTGTATACGTTAGTGATTACCGACAATGAAAAAGCGGAAAAATTGAAGCAGTCTTTACCACCAGGTCTTCAAGTAAAAGAATTGAAGTGAAGCACGGCATAATTTAGAAAATACAGTGTGTTGAAAATGTGTTCCGTTATATGAAAAAAACATTTTTCGGCTTTTTGACTGCTTTAAATTCTCGTAACATTGACGACATCAATTTATTCCACATCTGGAATGCACATTTCAAAACGTAACAACGAAACAGAGGCATCAAAAGTTTTGGTATCACTTTTACTTTTGGTCAGTACATCCACGTACAAAAGAAAAGAGTCCGGTGATGAATCCATTAGACACGTACTAGAAGTATGGATCATATAGAAGTAGTAATATGACACTGCCCGGTTGACACATTGAAACTGACAGCTTATCTCATAAAGTCATGATAAATTATCCATTTAATTTCATAAATTTAAATGTGAAACAAAGAAATCAGGTAGAATTACATATTAAAATATGATAATGAATAGATATAAATTTTTTTGGGGTACATCGTGCGCTGATTGATACAGTGAACAATCGTATATCAGGTGGACCAGATAAAGTGCAGCCGCGATCACATCAGACAGCGGGGTCGTATACCTAATCCTTTCTGGGATGACTATTCCAGAATACCGTAGTGCCCCTGTGATTTGCCATTCAATGATTTGTTAGCCGTTTCTCCGCTGATTGCACCGAAGCAATGTGGGGTAAATTCCATACTCAAGGTAATTCATGGCTGAATGAGAAATTTACTTCTGTGCGTTCGAACTTCCATCTCTGGAATTCGAAGCCGATCTCTTTGCCTCTGTACCCCCACGCCACAATTGATAACGGCAAAGAGAAAATCATGATTCAGTTAGAAACGCGCAGCAACGATTTTCGCGGGATTGTTCGCGTTGCTTACTGAACTATTCATGATACACGAGTCTACAGTTTAACGAAAGCAGAGTAAATCATGCGAAACTATTTGAGTGGAATCAGGTACAAATAAATCGAGTTAATAATGCGCTACTAACTGTAGAGGATGGTGAAAGTTTGTAACCGTTGGGATGTCGATCTCCCTTAGACCCTCGTAATGGACGCCATTTTCCACACTGTTTTCGTGAAGTTTGTGTTACGACGCTGATCTTTACTTGCGTGCCATTAGCCCTCATTTAAATAATGTCTATAGCTATGTTGCCAGTGTAACGCTTAAGCTGCTGTTTCAAACGAAGTGAAAAATTTTCACTTAAGCTTAAAAGTGAAACGCGAATGACCTGAGAGACTCGAACTCAATGCATTTCGATTCAGAGTTCCGACGGTCGCCGACTGAACAAAAAAGTAGAAAGTTTAGGCATGGGTAATACACGTTTTAAAACGATAGTCAATTGAAAAACTATCTGAACCAGAGGCAGCCTACCACGAAATGCGACCATTTTCTTGCCTAAAAGTGTATTTTTCGATGACGAGATCGTTGGAGCTATCGTCCTCGAAAAATTCTTTCCATTTTGAGACCATCTGTGGTGAAGAAAATATGTACATCGAACGTGATCCGTCAGACTTGCAAACGCCACAAAGCAGCGCTAGCCGTACATGTTGTTCAGGCGACACATCGTATTCTAGCATTAACTGTACTCCGGCAAGCAAGGAGATGTTGGTACAGAAGAGTCTGAAAATAAGAAACTAAAACGCATTAAGGAAAGCAGTTTTACCTGGTAAAATTCACTCTGTGCTTGGATCGTAAATACAGCTTCAACACAAAACCACGTTGGAAAAACTCGTTCGACAAACCTGAAAACGTGTGAATAATGCGAAGATATTCTGTTCGTTCATGTATGTCAATTAACAGTTCAGACGTGCAATTATACAAATACCTAACTTCTGTATGGCTAAAACTCGATTTTGTTTCTGACTGTATCGAGGTAGGGAAACAATAATAAAGTTGTATTTGCTGAAAGGTCGGCCTCAGATATGGTAGCTCATTGGTAGTACGCTTGATTTACAGTCAAAGAAACCTGGGTTGATGTAATCCGTAACTGACTTCATTTCTTAAAGGTACATACATCAGTAGCACTATGCGAATAGCAAACATGCGACTGCCTGACTGGTCATCAAATTGTGGCTGTAGTCTTCAAAAATAAATGGCACTCCTGACAGAGATCAATGCCCGGCACAAGCTCTAACGAACCTAGGGCGCACAAGGCGTGAAAGACTGATTTCCTGACGATTAAATATTTCATTCATTTCCTTTTGGGTATCCAATTATACGATTGCTCGTGGCGACGAGCGGCTGGCATCCATCTGCTCTTAATCCCGAATTTTGACGTGATTCGCCGACATCTACAGGCTTTCAAAAATTACTTTTACGTTGAAGAAGGCCCCTGAAGTAGGCGCTAACACGACGGTATTGGTATATCACCCGATAAACAACCTATATTGCATTGTCTTCATCATTCACTGCACAGATGCCTGTTGCTGTTCAGAGTGATCCCATCATACCGGTCATGAGTGGTCTTCACCGTATTACTGCCTAAGCTTCACCTACATCAAAATTTAAACATGAAGGAGACTACTGAGGCTTATATACAGGGGTAAGCTAACTAATAATACAATGAAACCTGGGTATTATCTTCATGGACTAAACCGCAAATCAGTTTTAGCCCAAAACGGTATGGACGGACTGCCAGTCTGAACGGTAACAATAGCAGCGCTAGAGATTTTTAAAATGAGCCCTTCATACCCAGTCAGACACAGCATTCGAGAGCGAGGCAATGTTACGTACTCAGAAACGCTGATTTATTTTGTAGGTGAATCATAATCAACGGATTTCGACAGTCGCTAAAACAACATAGACGTACTGCAAGCGCCTTTCTGGTCACTGCATAGCCAGTGAGGTTGCAGCTGCTGCTCCTTAAGACAGAAGTGGAAATGCCCTGAACCACTGGCATCGCCATCAGAGCCAGACGGACAAGTTATGCACGACTTTCCGGGGAAAAAATTCGTCCTAACCGGCAAAACGTCCAGCGGATGACATGGAAGACTGCTTTTCAGGGTGGCCCAGAACCTTAATGCAACGTGTCTTAAGAACAGATGAAACGGAATAAAATGAGAACACATTACCATACAATCAATAGCTGGAAAAAATGCAACGAATAAAACAATCAGTTTACATAGCAGAATGCATATTATTTTGAATAAAGAAACGAAAGTTTGCAACACTTCCATGATGGTGCCATTTTTGGCGTTCATTTTTCATGAAATTAGTGGTCTACTGATCGTTGACTCCATATCATTAGCCATTCCATGTCATCAGCGCCTCATTTTAAGGGTAGAATCACAGCAGCTGTGTGGCAAGCGCGTGCGTAGTTTACTGTTCCTTTCCCAGAGAGTAGTACTCATTTATTGACGTCAGAAGGAAGGAAGATGAGCGACCCGACCGGGGCTCGAACCCGGAACCTCTCAGTTCTCAGGGTGATGCTCTACCGATTGAACAATGCAGGTCTTGAATTTAGACTAAGTCTGCCAAAGGCGGCATGGCTATCGAAATACTTAGAATTGGACATTATTAAAAATTCAGAAATAGAGATAGCATGTAGGGAGTATATTAAAAAACAAAACTGCAAGCTGCACTCCTCTACAGAGTAATTATACTGCGTTTCCCAGATCCTGGACACCAAAAGGACATTTCTGTAGAAACAGCACATCGATCAGTACTTCGTCGTCATTTTTCCCTGAAACTCCATGAATCATATTTATAGTAGCCCCCATCCATTAACTGACCTATAATTTCTCCTTACTCTCAAATACCAAATTTCCAATCCGCCAATCTTTGAAACTTCACGACTAGTTCGTAACCCAGGTTATTCACGGTAACTCTACCTATTATCCGCAACTTCTCTCACCCGCCGTAATTAATCACCTCTTCACACTTCCTATAAATGCATACACTACGCGTCATGCTATCCTTTCCGTAAATACGTCCATCAACCGCTACCACTCGCCTAATTCACAGATTGACGCACTCTCCTGCAAATAAAAGCTTTACTTATGCCCCTAACTCCACAGCTGAAATTATATCAACCTCTTTCAATGCCCCCGTTGGGCAGCGGCAACATTTCGTGTTACCTTTGCTCGCTATACTCGAAATCCTCAAAAGAAAGCCTTTCATAAGTCCATCCAACGGCGAAGAGGGCGGTAGAAAGTTGACGTTGACGAACAGTTTCAAGGGCAGGCTTTGTCTCAAAACCGGGACCATGCTTCGTCTTGCGACCAAACACGTCGATTCCCACAAACACGTCAGACTTTCGTTCACCAGCCGTCTTGGCACTTTTTTCGAGGTTGTCGTCATCCCAACAGTAATTGAGAAAAATTCCGTCACAACTGTCGAAAAAAATTCTAAAAAAGTAACCTTATAAAGAGCAATGCGCCACGCGTAATATTAAATATTTACAGAAATGGAACAAATAAGATCTAAACTTAACACTTTTTTACTTTGAAAAATTACACTGTGTAGGATGACCCGGAACTGTGGATCAACAACTCGGAGATGATGATGCTATTTGCAGAGGTTCTCAAGATTAGTTAACGAATTATGATTTTGGGATGGTGTTGCTGAAACACCAGGGTAAAGATGAGAACAGGATCATGTGAAGACATAGAACACTTCCAAGCAATGCAAGCCAGGAGGCGACACTGTCAGGATCCATTAAGTGCTCTAACCCATGAGCTTCTCGTGTTAGAGCCTGAACACAGTAAACGTCTACAAGCAAGCCAGCAAGCAATATGAAGGAAAAAAGTAGAGACAAATCTGCTTTCAGAGAGAGGTATTTTCTTTTAGGTTGTAGTAAGATATTGGAAAGCTGCAAATTAAATACAATCCGAATAAAATGCCGACATCAAGAACCATCGACGTTATCCGGATACAATCGGCTCAAGGTGATGATCATAACGAACGAAAAACAAAAAATCTACCATCAATACATCGAATAGATTAGATTAAGCCAGAAGAGAATGATATACTCAAATTTCAATGCATTTCTAAATATAAGAACGGAAGGATATTCAGCAAGAGACGAATAACCTTACTTGTTGCTTGCATTGAGTTCATTCTGCCACTCCAACTTTCCACTGCTGATGATGCTGTCATACATGATCACTAGGCTATGGGTTCCTATGGTTTCCTTGCAAAGACGCGTTAGCTCTTGCAGAAAGTACACCAGGTTCTCCATATACTGTAAAATGTTAAATTTCATTGAATAAACAATACTGTCAAACAAGCTGATGAGCTGTAAAAGAAGGCAGAACAAACAGTATCAAAATATGAGCGAAACAGGAAAGCAAAGTTGCAGTAGCTGATCATTAAAATTACAGCTCCTTGACTATTAGTATATATGCGCGCTGTCATTGAGGCTAAAATTCGTGCGTGGAGGGGGTTGGAATAATGAACTCAAAAAACCATTGACTGGCTATGGCATCCGAAATATGAGACTCAAAAAACGACCTGAACAACAATAGAAAGATACTATTCCGACAAGATGTTAATAAAAATGATATCGATTCAGTCGTTATAGACAAAATAAGATTGAAACTAAGGTTTGTATTTTTATTGTCCAACCGTCAGAACCGTCAGCTATAAGAACTGGCCATTGTCAGGGCAGAAAATAAATGATGTCAATGAATTTCTTCAAGCAAAACGCAGAGAAAACACTGGAACCATTGGGATGTCGGCATATGTTACAGCACATTGCAGAGGTGGGTACATTCAAGTGTCTCAGGCACCCACCTGTTACAGACTTTTTGAATAACGCCGACCTTCGGTTCAATCCAATTAGCATAGATTTTAATTATCAGACAGTATCTGACGCTATATAGAAGATACAAAGGTAGTTTCTAATTTTCTTGCCACACAGCCATTCATAATGGTTGAGAGAGTGAGTGAGTCAGTCTCTTTGACCGCATATTCCTTCGAGTTGTGGAAGCAGCTGCGTTACACAATGTCTCAACTGTTCCAAATTCTGCTCTGGCCATAGCTGCGACAGAAAAGAACTCGAACCTGGAGCAGAGTTTGTCGAGAGACGTGCCCGATGTTATTCATGGCCGTCTCTAAGTTTCTCGGCCGGTTAGACGAGCAGTTAGTAGCTGCTTGCGTTCCTTTCTGGAAGCATTCACAAGACATGCCCAATCCATCGCAGCTGTGACTTCTAGATGTGGCGAAGTAGGGTCCTTACAGTAAAGCTCTCTCTGATGTCTGAACTCCGGAGATTGTGGAGACACGTGAGCCCAGCGATATGTCCAAGAGAATCCATTTCAGTCACTTTCACACTGGATCGAAGTTATTCGGCAGTGAACCACGGCTCATGACAATAGGTGAGCATCGGAATGAAGGTGGACCCGAACACACACAGACATACATCACACATACACACAAACACAGACATACACAGACACACACAGACACAAACACACACAAAGACACACGCAGACACAGACACACACAGACACACACACGCACACACAGACACACACAGACATACACAGATACGTACAGACACACACAGACATAAACACACACAAAGACACGCACACACACACAGACACACACACACACACAGACACACACACAGACATACAGACACAGACACAGACACACACGCATACACACACACACACAGCCTTCAGCCTTTCAAACTCAGCTCTGTTTCAGTCAGAACAGCTTAGGCTAATTAACGAAGAACGCCGCTGGCCATTTCAGTTCTCCAGTCGATGGCTTCCTCCCTTTTTTCATCCACAGTAAACACAACAGCTCTGAGTTACGTGAACGCTTCTCTACCAATTCCACCGCTTCTTGGTTAATGTGCAGTGCGCAACTTGTAGGAAAACGAGAAAGCACTAGGCTTACGTTTTAGATACGTTCACACCCATGCCGCCCACGTCGCACTCGGCTGCTAACCTTTCGAAAGTGTTGCAGATCAGTTTCCGAAGATGTCATGGTCGTCTGTAAACAACAACTTGTAGTCTC